GCGCTTGCAGCAGCTCAACGCCATTCGTATCATCCAGCGTAACTGCGCCGCCTACCTCAAGCTTCGCAACTGGCAGTGGTGGCGTCTCTACACAAAGGTCAAGCCTCTGTTGGAAGTAACCAAGCAGGAGGAGAAGCTCGTTCAGAAGGAGGACGAGCTGAAACAAGTGCGCGAGAAGCTTGATACTCTGGCCAAAAACACACAGGAGTATGAGCGCAAGTATCAGCAGGCGTTGGTGGAGAAAACCACTCTTGCGGAGCAGTTGCAGGCCGAGATAGAACTGTGCGCCGAAGCCGAGGAATCACGTTCCCGACTGATGGCGCGCAAACAGGAGTTGGAGGACATGATGCAGGAGCTGGAGACGCGCATCGAGGAAGAAGAGGAGCGTGTCCTGGCCCTTGGAGGAGAGAAAAAGAAATTGGAGCTAAATATTCAAGATCTGGAGGAGCAGCTGGAGGAAGAAGAGGCCGCACGACAAAAATTACAGCTGGAGAAGGTGCAGCTTGACGCCAAGATTAAAAAGCACGAAGAAGATCTCGCCCTCACCGACGACCAGAACCAAAAGCTTCTAAAGGAGAAGAAGCTGCTGGAGGAACGCGCCAACGATCTATCCCAGACGCTCGCCGAGGAGGAGGAAAAGGCTAAGCATTTGGCCAAACTGAAGGCCAAGCACGAGGCCACCATCGCTGAACTCGAGGAACGCATGCACAAGGATCAGCAGCAGAGACAGGAGTCTGATAGATCCAAGCGGAAGATCGAGACCGAAGTTGCCGATCTTAAAGAGCAACTCAACGAGAGGCGAGTGCAGGTGGAAGAGATGCAGACGCAGCTGGCAAAACGAGAGGAGGAACTCACCCAAACTCTGTTGCGCATCGACGAGGAGTCCGCAACCAAGGCCACCGCTCAGAAGGCCCAACGCGAGTTGGAGTCACAGCTGGCCGAGATTCAAGAGGATCTAGAGGCCGAAAAAGCGGCCCGAGCAAAGGCGGAGAAAGTGAGGCGCGATCTTAGCGAGGAATTGGAAGCCCTCAAGAATGAGTTGCTTGATTCCCTAGACACCACAGCCGGTAAGACTTAAATTTTCCATTTAATTGAGAAACAATATTTACAAAAAATTTGTTTGACAAACAGCCCAGCAGGAACTGCGTTCTAAGCGCGAACAAGAGTTAGCCACGCTAAAGAAGTCGCTCGAAGAGGAGACTGTCAATCACGAGGGAGTCTTGGCGGACATGCGGCATAAGCATTCGCAGGAGCTTAACGGCATCAACGACCAGCTTGAAAACCTACGCAAAGCCAAGACCGTCCTCGAAAAGGCGAAGGGTACTTTGGAGGCGGAAAACGCCGACCTGGCCACTGAACTGCGCAGCGTCAACAGCTCCCGGCAAGAGAATGATCGGCGTCGCAAGCAGGCCGAGTCGCAAATCGCTGAATTGCAGGTAAATAGTCGTGACACGAAACAGCTGAATAAGCTGAAACATATACTTTTGGAAGCAATCACTTACTTTTCTAAATAATCAACAGGTAAAACTAGCAGAGATTGAACGCGCCCGGTCAGAACTGCAAGAGAAGTGCACAAAACTTCAGCAGGAGGCGGAGAACATTACAAACCAGCTAGAGGAGGCCGAACTTAAGGCCTCGGCCGCCGTGAAGTCTGCGAGCAATATGGAATCGCAGCTTACCGAAGCCCAGCAGCTGTTAGAGGAGGAAACGCGTCAGAAACTGGGCCTGAGCTCTAAGCTGCGTCAAATCGAGTCCGAAAAGGAGGCGCTACAAGAGCAGCTTGAGGAGGACGATGAGGCAAAGCGTAACTACGAACGCAAGTTGGCTGAGGTCACCGCCCAGATGCAGGAGATTAAGAAGAAGGCCGAGGAAGACGCGGATTTAGCCAAGGAATTGGAGGAGGGCAAAAAGCGGCTCAACAAGGACATCGAGGCCTTGGAGCGACAGGTCAAGGAATTAATTGCCCAGAATGACCGTCTTGATAAAAGCAAAAAGAAGATTCAGTCGGAGCTGGAAGATGCAACCATTGAACTAGAGGCGCAACGCACGAAGGTGAGTCTTTGTTTTTTCATTTAAAAAAGTACTACCTAATGCAAATAATTATGTGCTTCGTCAGGTGCTCGAATTGGAGAAGAAGCAGAAGAACTTTGACAAGATCCTTGCCGAGGAAAAAGCCATATCAGAACAGATTGCCCAGGAGCGCGATACTGCCGAGCGGGAGGCGCGTGAAAAGGAGACCAAGGTGCTGTCGGTTTCCCGCGAGCTGGACGAAGCCTTTGACAAGATTGAAGACCTCGAGAACAAGCGCAAGACCCTCCAAAACGAACTCGACGACCTGGCCAACTCACAGGGTACCGCAGATAAAAACGTCCACGAACTGGAGAAGGCGAAGCGGGCCCTGGAGTCTCAGCTGGCCGAGCTGAAAGCACAAAACGAGGAGCTCGAGGACGATCTGCAGCTAACCGAGGACGCTAAATTGCGCCTGGAGGTCAACATGCAGGCCCTACGCTCCCAGTTCGAACGCGACCTGTTGGCAAAGGAGGAGGGCGCCGAGGAAAAGAGACGCGGCCTCGTTAAACAGCTCCGGGATCTTGAGACCGAGTTGGACGAGGAACGTAAGCAGCGCACGGCCGCGGTGGCGTCGAAGAAGAAGCTCGAGGGAGACCTAAAGGAGATAGAGACCACCATGGAAATGCATAATAAGGTGAAGGAGGATGCGTTGAAGCACGCGAAGAAGCTGCAAGCACAAGTCAAGGATGCCCTGCGCGACGCCGAGGAGGCTAAGGCCGCCAAGGAGGAACTGCAGGCACTGAGCAAAGAGGCCGAGCGCAAGGTCAAGGCACTGGAGGCCGAAGTATTACAGCTGACTGAGGATCTGGCCAGTTCAGAAAGGGCGCGCCGTGCTGCTGAAACTGAGCGCGACGAACTGGCCGAAGAAATTGCCAATAACGCCAACAAAGGCTCCTTGATGATCGACGAGAAGCGCCGATTGGAAGCTCGCATCGCCACTCTTGAGGAGGAGCTGGAGGAGGAGCAGTCCAACTCAGAGGTGCTGCTGGATCGCAGCCGCAAGGCGCAGCTGCAGATTGAGCAGTTGACCACAGAGCTGGCCAACGAGAAGTCTAACTCGCAAAAGAACGAAAACGGACGCGCTCTGCTCGAACGTCAGAACAAGGAGCTAAAGGCTAAGCTTGCCGAAATCGAGACGGCGCAGCGCACCAAGGTAAAGGCCACGATTGCTACGCTCGAGGCCAAGATCGCCAACCTCGAGGAGCAGCTGGAGAACGAGGGCAAAGAGCGTCTGGTGCAGCAAAAGGCCAACCGCAAAATGGACAAGAAGATCAAGGAGCTTACGATGAACATCGAGGACGAACGGAGACATGTCGACCAGCACAAGGAGCAAATGGATAAGGTAAAGGGAGGTCAAAAGCATTTTAGAGATCAATAATAAAATATTGATTTTTTTTTCAGCTGAATAGCCGCATTAAGGTGCTCAAGCGCAATCTGGACGAGACCGAAGAGGAGCTCCAGAAGGAGAAAACCCAGAAGCGCAAGTACCAGCGTGAGTGCGAAGACATGATTGAATCGCAGGAAGCCATGAATCGTGAGATTAACTCACTCAAAACAAAACTACGGTGAGTCGTGGTCTGTGCCAGCTGAATTTCAGGGCGGGGGTCCTTTGGTGTCTCCTGGGGTTGCATTTATTGATTATTATGGTTTGCAATTTATCTTTGGTTTAAGCTCCATACAAGTGGCCGAGACCGAAAAGGCAAAGGCGTATTCGCCGAAAAAGGATGCTGCACTCATTATGAATTGTGAGGGTCTGCATTAGGTTTCGTTTCGCTTCGATTCGCTTGGTTTCCTTCGCGTAGGCTGTAAGTGCTGCTGTTCGCCATGATCCTTAGAACCAGTGAATGTCAACCGAACCCAGCAACCAAACCATCGTCTTCTTTCTGCATGTTAGGAACAGAACACACCATCAAGTCCAAATGTGCGAACTTATGCCGTACCTCAAACTTCCTCAATATTAGATCTTAGTCCTTGAACTCACAAACCGTACCCTCTGTTTTGATTTATATGTTGCCCCTGCACTGCACGTTCACCCGGAAACCGCAAACCGAGATGTTAATTATTATTTTGGTCTTTCCCTTCCTAGACGCACCGGCGGCATGGGTCTCAGCTCCAGTCGGCTCACGGGCACACCTTCATCAAAGCGCGCAGGAGGAGGCGGGGGCGGCGGCGGCGACGACTCATCGGTGCAGGATGAATCACTAGATGGAGAGGATTCAGGCAATTGACGCGTTAATTATTAGATGAAGATAAAGTTAAAGCGGAGGAAGAAGGTGAAGATGAAGAGCAAAATAAACGATTATATTTAATGTTTCTTTTATATAATTTCTCTGTTATTTTTTATATAAACTATTATACATACTTAAATTAAAACGTAAACAAACAAAACCAACATTTTTATAACGACAAAACGTAAACATAAAACAAAACAAAAATAATGTTGTAAAACACACTCCCACTCTATACAAACCATAAACACATAAGAAACTTCCCATCCCTCGAATGGCTGCGGATTAAAGCAGCCAACGAAATAAAATTAAAATTATTCAACACAAAAATCAACCAAGAAACGTATTAACTCTGAGCTACACAAACCCACAACCACACAACAAAACCAGCAGGACACTCATGCCCACAATTTTTAATAACCTAATATAGAACCCATAGAAGTACTCGATGCAAAGTGTAATTCATGCATTTAACAACTAAAATGGTTTTCAAACAGAATCAGACCAGAACAGAAAATCAAATGTTGAACACGCAACTAATATACGAATTTCGTTTTTGTTTAGAACTAAACAATAAAATATTTGCTACATGAAACTGATCTTTCTATGGGTTTGTAGTGCGGCCAATTAAAGGAAAAATGCCCGCTACCGCCAGAGTAGATTAAAGCTTAAACGTGGCTCAAGTTTATGAAAACAAAAAAGTTTCATGTTATGAACAGTTTATTTAACGGTTTTTGCTTATATACATCAAATGACTACAGACTAAAGGTAACTGGCGACTCTTTGCAGACTAATGTCTAAGATCTATTCTATAGGCACTGACAAATTCGAAAATCTCATAAAAGTTTGAACAACTTTCCCCACCCGCCCAAAAACTAACTAACTAATGGCACTATTCGATCTCATGGCTCAGGCTGCTCGATGGTTGCTCCCTTGTGCAGGAACCGGCCCTGGAACAGGCATGTCGATGTGGTGCACCACGACGATTTCCCCGTTTAGTGCCTCCAGCTCAGCGGAGGACTTGCTCTCCTGGAGCTGCTCTTCCCGCCTGCTATTCAGGTAGTATACTGAGGCCACGATCAGACTGAACGATGTCACCGATATGAGCAGCGTGCCGTACTTGAGAGTCTGCTGAATGGCATTTAGGCCAAAGGTACTTAGATACAACGTATGAATAACCTCCTTGGAGAAGTCACCTGCGGTGATCTCGATCCACATCAGCGGAAGAATGGTGGCATTCTTCAGCCGAGCGCCCTGATCTGAAAAAAGACTAATTTAATACGGTTTCCGAAAAAGTATGAATCCCTCGTTCGAGCGTACTTCTCAGTATTGGCGTCTTGTCCAACATGATGTTAATTTGGACGCGCGAGGCTCCGCTAATGGGAAAGCCGAATCGAGGATGTATGTCGGCATAGGTCTGATGAATATCTGCATCCGGTTTGATCCCATCAAAGTCCTCGTATAGCACCGGATCGCCCGTGAAGAAGTGTGGGAAAGAGGGAAATATGGGAGCATCCCCGTAGCACTTGGTGGCGTTGATCACGCCGCTGCGCATGCACAGCTCCGTGTTTTCACAGTAGCACTGGTTCGCCGGATTTATTTTGGGGTTGGCGAATACATCCATTGGTGTCTTGTAGCGCAGAACATCGATGTCGTCGTAGATAGTCACCTCCTTTTCGAAATGTAGCGGCACCTTGCGGCACAGGACCTGGAGGAATACATGCACAGTACTGCGATCCTGCAGCAAATGCGGTGAAAACATCGAGGGCTCGGAGCCGTCAATGCGATTGCACTCCTCCCCCTCCCAGTAGTCCAACTGGGGCATTCCATTGAACTGGGTGATGATGCTGAACTTGTTGATGTCGTCCTCGCCCGTGTTCAGCTGCACCGAGTCCACGCTGGTTCCGTTGCGCTAATAAATACACTTTATTAATAACCTGACAAATAATCCCCTTTCCATCCTTACGGTCATTAAAAGGCCAAAGCGCCGCCGTCCCCGTCCCAGGGACTTTAATTTAATGATGCTGTCCTCATAGCCCCAGAGAAATTCGGAGGCTGTGAGATTCTTGAAGAGTGGCTCCTTGAATTGCTGGATCAAACCTGAGACAAATATTCGTTCAAAATACTTCATGCGCTTAACGGGTCCGGCCGCAGATATGAGGGGCACATTGGGCACCCTCAGCACTTCGTGCTCCCCAATAGACGACTTCTCCGGCAGGAACTTGTACGACTTGCGATCCTGAAAATCATTTTATTAAACACTGAGTATATCTGTTTTGTAAAGGAAAACATACCCTGAAGCTAACCGTAAAGTTTTTGTTAAAGGAAACTTCATCTTTGATAGTGTGTTCTTGGTAGGTGAGGGGGCCTACATCCACGACCTTTATCTTATCAGCCCGACCTGCCAAGTAGTCGTCGATGTTGGGGTAGTGGAAAATGTGTGCCTTCAGCAGCGTATCGTACTTGGGATCGGGGTTTAGCCAACTGTTGGCGGTCTCCGAGTTCTCGGAAAGAATAAGATTCTGTGGACCAGTTGGTGATAGGTAAATCATGATACAAATGGAGACATTACAGACTCACTTCAAGCATGGTGTTGTTGTAGTACTCGGTGAACCACATTACAAAGAATCCGGTCACGCTGATTACAAAGAGCAGAAATATTACGCCCAGCACTGGAAAAGTCGAAGCGGATTAACCGACCCAGCCAGGCTTGTCAAGAATGCTCTACTCACTTATCAGGGCTCCGATATCCTTGGACGTTGGCTCGCGGTTTTGCGCCTGATTGCGCAGGCCCAAGGCCTCGAGAATCATCTGCAGCACAGTAGGCTTCTCGGATCCGTTCGTCAGGCCAAAGCCTCCGAAGTTTCCAGTACCCACCCCGCTCCGCGATGAGTTCAGAGTGAGGGATTTGGTTATTTGAGGTGCCACTGTGCGATCGGATTCTTGCCTGGGAGGTAAGGTCACCTCAGGGTCTGTGGCGGAAGGCATTGTGCTGTGACTTTGGGTGTAATCTCTCGTCGTGAGCTAAAAAATAAAGTGCGTTTTGCAATTATAGGTTCCTATCATTCTCTTATTATGTTGTTGTGCTCTGTTTTGAAAGCCAGATTGTGATTTCCCTACAATTATGTAATTTGCCTTATGGATTGGGCATTGACTTAGTTGCAAATCCAATGCTTGTTCATATGAATTCAACGTGTATTGAATGTTATCTTTATAAATGCTAAACACGTGGCCGCAAAAGGGCTCTGTTTGGAAAGATTATAGCTTATCAGCCAGCCTTTATAAATTCGAATCTGGGGTTCATTGAACACATAAAAAGACAATAACGTCTCTAAAGCACCTATATTTAATTGTTTGAATTAGCGCTAATTTTGTTTCATATATTTTGTGTTTTAACTTTAATGGCCTTTAAGCCTTTAAATTAATTCGATCGTCTCCGACCAACAGAATTTAAACCATACGTTTACAGATGATTCGACGAACTAATCGGGGTTTTAATTCCGAGAGCCTTCGATTCTCTGGTGCTTGCTGGCTGAATTCAAAGTTCAACCGTATGTACTATAGTGTTATCAGCTGCTCCTACAAGTATATATGATTGGCACATACTAACTAGGCATTAATTCATTATTAAATGGAAACAACATTTATCAGTATATGCAGTATGTGCACTATGTGTATAGAGTTAAGCTTTGGCAACCGTGGGGCTAGGATTTGCCAAGAGATAAGGCGCAAGATGAGCTTTAAAATTTTCCAATATTACGCTCGAACTTTAATGAATGATCTGGTAAGGGAATGTGATTGATCGGTTAGGGAACAATTGAACAGATGGTAGTTAATAGTTAGACAATGGTAGTTAATTTAAAAACTTATTTTTGCTGTGCGATTCTTTGAAACCTATTTAAATATCATTTTCATAATTCATACATTCTATAATGATCTAAGGGCTTGTCCTAGATGGGGCTCTAGAGAATAATAAAATTAACAAAAGAATTGCTTTCTAAAGCCCCATCTACGACTTATCCTTATAGATGTATAGATGGCCATGTATCTTTGATATTTTGTCTTACCCTCAAGACCCGTGGGAACCGCTAATACTTTTCCACTTGCTACTTGCCTTTGAGGGTCTCCTAATCGCTGGTGCTAGATGTCTTGCCACTGCGCTCCCCCGAATCAGTTGCAGAGAAGTGGCATTGACTGATAACGTGGTGCGGTGCGGTTAACTAGGGGCGTGTGGGTGGGACTGTGTGGTAGGGCGAGAGCGGGAGCGCTCTCATACAGCATGCACTTGAAATGAGCTATAATGCGGCACCAGCTGATTTTCGGTGGGCTAGGCGAATTGCGCGCTACAGTGGAAACGGAACCACTCTCACAGATACGAACTGCACCCACACGCTTATCGATCGCGCACTCTCTCACTGCTTAGTGCTCGGCTCCTCTGCTTTGCACTTTCGAAGTCTGCCAAACATTTGGCGTCTTAATTAACAATTTCGTCGTGTTTACGCTGGCTGAACACAGTCGTGCTGAGTGAGCGCTTTACTTTGTTGGTTTCTTTTCGGGGCTCTCGTCCCGCGCCCCCGTGAATAGATGGTCCTGCTGGATGCACTACTTTTGTATCTATGCTGCGACTGACTCGTTTTGTATCTGGTATCTTGTATCTGGCGCTGGTGTATTTGCGCCTCTCTGTCCCGTTCTTTTTGTTGCCTTGTGTTCTTTGTTCGCCTGCTTCTTTGTTTTGTCGTCGTCTCTTTTGTGGGCTCGATCGCTCTGGCACTGGCTGTTGTTGCTATAGCTGCAGCTGGAGTCGTCTTTGTAGTTGTAGTTGTAGTTGTTGTTGGAGCAAGAGCTAGTGCTGGTGCTGCTTTTAAACCCGAAGAGCACTTTTCCTGCCCAGCTGTATTCGAGGCGAGGCTGAGTTTCCCTTAGTTTCGACCACTTAGGCCACTTCCAGCGAACGGCAGCACTTGAGGACGGACTGCCTCTGCGGAATTTGTTTATCTAGGCACGGAGAATGGCCCACTGCCACCGGTTGATCCACTTGCCAATTGTTGGCCGCGATTAGCTACGAACTCGGGCCTGCCCACGCATTATCTGGCAGGCAACCCTATTGAACCGATTAGATTTCGCCCGCTTCGCGCCGATCTTTGCGGGGATTAGAGAGCGTGTTTTGCCTGGAACTGGGACTGGTTCTCCGCTGGACTGGACTGTGCGTACTGCCCACCAAACAAGTTATTACTACGACGTCGGAATCGGACGGAATCAGTTCGAGCAGAGCTCTGCCAGCAGCGCAGACGCCCCTCTTTCCCCAACCTTCACCGTCGCTGCCGCTGCCTCGGCCGCCGCAGTGATAAGCGGGCGCTGCGGTCAGCTATGATTGGAGCTGGACGCAGCGGGCGCCGACTGCGCTGCCGCGGAATCGGGATCTCTTGTTTACTAAGTAGCAGCTTTGTGCGTGCCCGCGAGACAAAGTGCAAACTTAATCGTCGTCGGAACAAAGAAGGCACTCGGCAGAGATGGAAGAAGCTCATCAGCCCGCCAGCTGTTCGATGCGCTCCAGCTCCAGCTCCGTCTGCGTATCATTATTATCGAGTTAGACTGGCTCCCTGTTGGCAGGGGGCGGGGTGCAGAAACAGGCTTTATTGTTTCGATCACTGTGGGAATAGAACGGGCCAGAACCGTTGGAATTGAAACGTAGAGTAAGAGCAACACCTAAAAAAACATTTGATTTAAATAATATTTTATAATAATGTGACATCTGTAACCATCTCAGTTATATATAATATAATAACAGATATTATTTTAAAATGTCAGTTACGACGTAAGCTAAAAAATTGGTTCCAGGAGTTGTGACATGAATCAGTATTCTAGTTCACCTACCTTAGGTTGAAGCATATCAAAGTCGACAAACATTTTTTTCTTGATACCCAAACTTTCATTTCCTCTTAAAAAAGAATGAAAAATATATACTCTAATTTATAACCACATCTATAACAGATGTTTTCGTTCTAAAGTTTTCTGAGTGTAGGCAGATGCAGATGCAAAGCACCCCACCTAAAGTCTATTTATAAGTGTGCGCTGTCGCCAAAACAATTTAATTATCACTTAAGTACTTTAAGTACCCTTCAGCCATGGGCCTGCATTTGGTTTACCCAAGCAATTAACGGCGGAGAAAGGCACGGGCAATCCGATGAGTGCATTGGTACTGTGCTCCCACATTTTCAGTTTTAATGCCGTAAATCTTGGATACAGACTTATTTAGACTTTCTTATCGAGCCTCTTTCAAATTCTTGAGCTAGCAAAAAGGCCGGAAGATCGCAATACCCCCGCCGGAGTCGTGTTATTGAACCCCCAGCGTGTGTGCCGAGCATTTATCAGTTCAGTCAAGAGTTTACAATCAACCCGCCGTTTTGAGCTGTCCCTGCCCGAATCCCTGCTCAGTGCTACATCGTCGTGTTTCGCATCAGCGCGCTGATAGCCCCTCCGAACTTTTTGTTTTCCACAACGGATGACGCGGATGGGTTCAATAGCTATATCTGTCGTGCTAGTTAATAGCCTCTCAATACCGATGAGCTGCTTGACTATTTACCTGTGCACTCCCCTTTTGCGGAGTATGAACTCCATAGTGCGCAGTGCTCAAGTTCGGCTGACAGCCTAAGTGGCCCCAAGTCAGCGGCGATCTGAGTTACAGAATTTTGTTTAGACTGCCGGACAAAAGATCACCAAAGTCGCTGTTGGCTTGTGCCGAGCATTATCTGTTAGTGGTCACTTCCTTAACGACCGCTTAGAGGAATCTTATCTCTCAGGGGAGCTGGCTTATCGACGTGGTTGCCGGGCAGTCAAGTGCCAAACACTTCCCAAACTCACCCAGATATCAGCTCGAAATTAAACTGTTCCGAAAGTGCTCCAAACATATTCCTGCGCCCCTTGATGGAAGACTGATTGTTGGCCATGCAGGTGGCCGACATACTGCTGAGTAAGTCTGAAAACATTGAAGATTTACTTTGGGCTGGGGTGAGAGCAATTGATGACACGCCACCACAGCTAAATTAACATATGCGTACGCCGTTGTTGTTGTTGTCGCGCTGTTTTTGTTATTATTTATTGCATCATTTACAGCAACAAATGCGCCATTTTGTACGACAGTTTACATAAACAGAAAGGTCGCATGCAACCCGGTTAGCCTTATTGGCATGCAAAGTCGCCGCAGTGTCAAGCTTCGGATACGGGTCGCCAGTTAGGCGAGTGTGTGTGGTTGGACTTGGCGTGGAATGTCACAAGCATCGGGGCGATAATGTCTTGGCTAGCCTTCTACGTAGCCGTGGATGTTGGGCAATGGCCTTTTCTGATCTAAAATTAGGGTGCGACCCTACGCCAAGATTTCATTTGGAAGTCAACCATTCTTTATATCATAAACTGCTTTCCATTATCCCATGATTTTATACTAAACCATAAGCTTTTGCTTTTTCTGTACTTAAATCTTCTCAAAATTATAAACACGTCTTATAATTTTGAGAAGATGTAAGTCGAAAGGGTAGGGCTTGGTTTACAATCTTCACCTTTTCATAGCTTAGCCAAACAGGACTTGTTAACCTTGCCCAGCTTAGTTTTTTCAGTACTGTGGCATTGTAAATTTGCAAAGGTTGCATTATCGACAAATGCAAGAAATGCTTGTAAAATGATTTCCCAACTTGAGGTCAATAAAATAAAAAAGACAATTCCAATAAAACAGAGTCAGCCCCTGATTCACCGGGGGAAATTCTTCTTACTCCTACTCAGAACTCAGTCTGTGAAAATAAAACTTCCCAGCCAGTTTCTAGAATCGCATTAGATTCATCGATTTCCCCCTAGCTGATTTGGTTATGCAAACGCAGGCAGTTTCTGGCCCGTGTTATTTTCGCAGCTGGATTCGCACATTCCCAGATCCCGTTTATGCTGATGCCCGGGTATTTGGCAAGACTCCGATTCCGGGCAGGCAACAAACAAACCTTTCGCAATGCCGGCATCCAAGCTCCATCGGCAATAACAATAATTTGCTATCGCTGGAGCTGTCAAGTTTGCATACATTCTTTGACTGCAACCTGTCGTCGGTCGTCGGCGGTCGTCGTTGGCAATGTGAATGCGGTTGTTGTGCTGGGTTTGGCAACCACCCCGTGAGTCACTTGCCACAACAACCACGAAAGAAACAGCAGCGGCAGATATCATAATCGCTGCGAGTGGATAAGTGTTGGTGTGGCAATCAATGAGATTTGCCGAGTGTACAGCATTAAACGGAACGCACAACGCAACGAAACGAAAGACTTCAATGCAAGGCAACAAACTTGTTTTATCAGCCAGGCCCGAGCAGTGGCCACCACATGGACCGCCTCACCCGAAACCGAATCCGATTCCGTTTTCGATCAGCCCGAGCTTTGATCGCATGCGTTGCACTCGCAAAAGCTCCCGCTCGCTTACTCTCGCTTTTGCTACCTGCCAATTGCTAGTGGGGTTTTGCCTACCTGTTTATCAGGTTTTCGAGTTTCGCTTTGTCGCAACGCCAAGTCAAGCTTCTGGCTGAGCTTTCGCCGCCCGAACATCTTACGTTGGGGGGCCACTTGAAGACAGCAACTTCAGTTACTCGGCGGCACTGCGAGCGTTCAAGTCGTTGACGTTTTTTACCGGCGGTTGTTCAACGTTCCCTGCTCACCGTTCACCGATCAGCGATCGCCGATCACCACGTTCCAGTCCGGGCCCAAGAATCTTAACTTGCACCTCGGACCGCCGCAAGTCCGTGTAGCCGCCGATCCCAGTGTGAGTGAGTGTTGGCCTGGCCGTTTGGAAATGCCTGTGGCTTCCAGCCCGTCCAGCCCGAATCAAACCTGCCGCACCAGATACAAGATACGCGCTGTGGCAGCCAGCGTAGCAGTGTGTTGGGGATCAGTCGCATTCCTAGGAATCGCCTGACTGCAGCCATAGTTCGATTGCCGTTTCTGCCCCGATCGGGGGCAGACCCTTGCCCCCAGTCCGAGTCCGAGTCCGCGTCCGCGTCCCAGTCTCCAACTTCGAATCAGACTCCAATCAGAGCGCTGGTTGAGCAAGACCTTGCCCAGTCAGCCAAAATAAAACTACTTCGACAGCGAGTTCGCTTAGCAGCGCTACAAAAGCGGAAAATCATTGAATTATGCTTTGGGGGCTTTGATTTTGTTTGTGTTTCTGTTTCTTTGCTGCGGCTAAACGCTCTGCGGCCCTGCCAAAAGCGCATTTTATGTACGTGCATAGTTTTATGATTACTTGTGTGGAAAAAGTGAAATTTTGCTCTGCACTTCACTCGAGCTGCCACGAAGCAGCGGCTCAAAGCGAAATCAAATAAAAGTTTAACAAAACACACATTTACAAGACGCGAGATCCGAAATTAAGCATGCGCAGGCAAGAAACCCTAAGATAAATACTCGTAAATAAATAAATAGAGGGCCTGCAAGCTTTTGACCACATAACGATGACGATTATGTGAAGGTTGCAGCAGCCCGGCCAGAGCTTTGGGCCATCTTCATCATGTCTGTTTTGCCGCTGTGCCCAGTTGATCATAAAATTGAGGTGACAATTGCCTGGCTTTGTCTTCGCCTGCTGTTGACACATTTCGCTGCGAAAGCAACCGCAAACAAGATCTGCACTTCCCCTCGTCCGGCGAAGCCGACCTACTGCCAGTCCAAGATGAGCCACTTCAGTCCGCACATGTCTGTCACGCCATTGACGACGACATCAACATTGTTTAAGGCCCAAATTTAAAACCCATTTCGTTGCGTATTATCAAATGCAGCCCAGGCACGACAAAACGGCAGGTGAATTGCCAGCCACTGGCTCACTTTTTTGGCCGGTCAGTGTCACACTAACTATAATCAGCGGCAGCAGGAAAATCCGATTGGGGAACCGAAGCATTTAATACCTCTTAAAACCATTAAATATATAGGGATTCTGGGGAACACAGAAAAGATTCTTTTGGTGTCAAAGAAATTTTAGGGATTTAAAAGAGTCTTAGAGTAACTTTGCTTAATTGAAAAACAATTTTAAAAACCCTTGTTCAATAGTTTTTGTTACAAGCAATAAATACTTTCACCGTCCACTAAGTTGAACGGCTAAGTCCGATGGATTACCGAACCCAATCAAACTAATGGTTAATCAAACTTTTCCTACTCTTAGTCTTTTTTATTAATTCTACAACTACAAGTTTCCTATGAATCTAGGCATTTGCTGACTTAACTCGTAGAAGTTCGACTGTCACAAGCTCTGCAAGGGTAGCAGCTCCCGAATTGGGTCAGGGTAATTGCTTACACTAAACAGCTACCGCTTGTATTTATTTGTGCAACACTTAAACGCAGTGAAATTATGAGACGGCTCAGCTCGATCTCTGCGCCACCAAGCTGATCAGAGCAGCGGATGTCTTCACCGCGATTCCGCTTTCAGTTCAATTCATACAAAACGTGTGTTTAGAAAGTAAGTTTCTATTGAAGTTTGAATTCTGGCCAGGCGATTCGCTATAACCGCAGCAGCAGGCAGCCAACAGCTGCTAATTGAAAGGCCAAAACAAGTGAAACCAAAAATAAAATATAACTATTACATCAGCTATCGCATTTCGTTGGAATGCCGAAAAGCGCTGCTGTCTGCTCTGCTGCCAGGCATTATTGTTACGGCAAGGTGTTGTTGCACTGGAGTCCCACCGATTTGCATACTTTGCGGGGAGGCTGATAGAAGTCGCTCAGGTTCTGAAAGTAAACGTAAACACTTTGTCCAAGTTGAGTCACTAGACTCTAGATGGTCTGTGTAAACATTTGGGCCTGGTGACTACTCCGATTTCGAGCAATGAGCAATCTCAAGGGTTTCAGCGACTGCGGACTAAATAAACCTAGTGGGCCGTGAACACAGAACCCAATTAGCAGCAGGCAAACAACAGAAAATATGGGTAGCCAAATCCGAAATTGAAATCACTGATTAATGGCCTGGCTGGCTGAGTGTCGCCGAAAATTCATTTGAGGTGAAATAATTACTGGATAATTAGTATTCAATGGGCATCGGCATGGGCCGCATCGATGCCAACAATGGTGGATCCAATACCCAGCTCAATACACCAGCACAAATATTTAAGCCCAGCGAGCGACGACAGAGTCAGAGGCGGAGAAGTGCGACCTTGTGGCGTTCGGAAAGCGCAGTAAACTCGGCAAATAATAAAACTTCGTAGCTGTGTGCGTTGATAGGGTAGAGCGAACTCAAAGTACAAAGTTTAACGCCTTTAGCTGAAACTGCGGAGAAATCATAAACCGCTGGCCATTTCCGCGAGCATCCAAGAACTGGAATCGGAGACTCGATTATCGCCGCATGTTCTTGGCCAATCTTGGCCAATCGAGGGGCGGACGTGCCAGAGAGCTCCATCTGGAGTTGGCCCATCTCACCGCATCGATAAGCGGCCGTTTGTATGCACATGGGGAGCAATTGAATTGAACGTCAAGGGACCGCTCGATCGAGCCTTAATTAAAATGTTTCTATTGTCTCCGGCCGTGCGACGCCTGCAAATGGCCCGCCGGCCATTAGCCGAAAGCCATTTGGCTCCATGTCATTTGCTTTGTTTTATTTGGATCCGTTTATGAATATGAATAATGGCAGACGGCACTCTGCCTGGAATCGTCAATAATAAAAACGTTTCGGTTTACGCACGAAAGCAACATGTATCTGATGTATTTTGCGTTTGCGCTTGCGCAGCGCAGCCCTGGCCTCGGTCAAGGTCCCCACTCGCAGGCCGACCTTAGTCGAGCCAGAGCCTGCCAGCCCATTAAAAAGCTCTTAATGGCCCAAGGTCCGTCCCTGCCAGGAAGGGCGAGAGCTCGAGCAGTGATCGCTATTGGCCAGCACAAAAGGTAGCTGACGCGAAGGTTCTGGAGTCAGTGCCCCAGATCGGTTTTTCGCTTTGGTGCGCTGTGATAAATCAGCATTTGGCCGAAATGCTCGCACATCGACAAAGCGATGTCAAAACAGCACAAGGCTAACACGCCCCAAAACGTGTCTGAGGTCTTTGTGCCGCGACATCTCTCTAAAATGTGGCATGTGCACATGGAAAAGAATGAGCAAGTTGAGGGTGATCAAGATCGCGAAACGATGGCCGCGACCCAATGTCGTATAGAACCCAGTGATCAAGATGTGATATTGAATGACTACTTTCCTGTTTATCTGGCTGCCACTGGCTGAATCTATAATTATTAACGAGACTACAATTTAACCGGTATTACGGCTACTCTATCCGTGTATCTCTAGGTCTCCTTAAACAAAACGTTATATGGTTTATATGTTATTTTGTTTTGCATTTTTAGTTAACAACTGCAAGGCGGTCAGCTCTTGACTTTCCAGCTCCCTAAACCCCAACAGCGAATACGTCAACATGAACGGCCCCAAACACAAGTTTTGCACAAAACTCTCCAGCACTTATCTAAGAAAATGGTGTAAGTATTAAATAGTAAGGACACGACGTGTTAGTCTGGGGGTGGTATTACCATATTGCCCATATTATTAGCATCTAATTGTATTATTCTCATAAATGAAATTATCACACGGATTTCCAACTTGATCATCAAAATAAACCCACCAAACTACTTACACAAAACGCAATGGGAGGTGGAATCACAAGTACCTGGCAGAGGCAATTCATTTAGCGATTTCATTGGTGTTAGAACTCCACGTGCCTTGTTCTTGTTTTGATCCAGTGCTAAGCATAGTTTCTTTTTGAACGACTGGTTAGACTGGTATGCGAATGAAAATATTCTTATTTAATTGCGATGTACGTATGGGATAAACTGGATATGCGAGGCCTTCCTATTCTTCCAACCTTTCCCCTTGCTTTAATTTACTTGTGAGACATACATTCCGCGTTGTAACTTTTCAGAGGTCTTCTGCTGGTGATATCCAGAATCCGGTTATAGTTTCAAGTAGAGTTTCCAGTTCTGGCGTCTCACCATCTATAATTTGCTTGCAATTATTCAATCACAACTAATTGGCCATATTTATAGATAATGGGTGATTGGACAGCTAGGAGCTAAAGGTCAAAAGGGTTAGTGATTAATTTGAGATGCTCGATCAGAGGTGAATAAATATTTATGTCACATCCCGAACATCGCTATCAAGCGGTTTCAGTCGAGTGCCAACTCAATTGTGAGCTCCGATCAAAGCCAATACACTTTCCACGGTTACCCATCCAATATCAAATGACTCATCCCACTTATCCGGTAATTTATGCATTCGGTGAACAATTGTTCAACAATTCGCTTTGGTTTTCCAGGGATTACGATCGTCGTGGCGTCGGCGCTGATAATTGGCGGAATCGTAGTGGCCTGTGAATTCTCCGTGCTGATCGATGCAGTCGTGGACCGCATGGTGGCCCTGCGTCCCGGCGCCAAGACCTTCGGCTGGTGGGCCAAGCCCCCGGTGGAGCCCCGAATCAGCCTGTACATCTACAATGTCACCAACGCGGACGACTTCCTCAGCAACGGCTCCAAGGCCATTGTCGATGAGGTAGGCCCCTACGTTTACAGGTAAGTAATCTTCACTCTTAGCAAATTCGACTTAAATATGAACACTATTCCCCACCTGCAGCGAGACCTGGGAAAAGGTAAACATCGTGGAGAATGACAATGGCACGCTGAGCTACAATCTGCGCAAGATCTACTCGTTCCGCGAAGATCTCTCGGTGGGGCCCGAAGACGACGTGGTTATTGTGCCCAACATTCCCATGCTGAGTGCCACCTCGCAAAGTAAGCACGCTGCCCGGTAAGTACTGCACCGCCTTACGATGGCTCTCTTGGTTAACCTGACCATGCCCGGTCCAGATTCCTGCGTCTAGCCATGGCCAGCATCATGGACATTCTGAAGATCAAGCCGTTCGTGCAGGTTTCCGTGGGCCAGCTGCTCTGGGGCTACGAGGACCCGCTGCTTAAGCTGGCCAAGGATGTGGTGCCCAAGGAGCAGAAGCTGCCCTACGAGGAGTTTGGCCTGCTGTATGGCAAGAACGGCACCTCCTCCGACCGCGTCACCGTGAACACGGGGGTGGACGACATTAGGCAGTACGGCATCATCGACAACTTCAACGGGCGCACCCATCTGCCGCACTGGACCACCGACGCGTGCAACACCCTGGCGGGAACCGATGGCTCCATCTTCCCCCCGCACATCGACCACGACCGCATACTGCATGTGTACGACAAGGATCTGTGCCGCCTGTTGCCTTTGGTGTTCGAGAAGGAGGTGATGACTTCGAACGAGGTTCCCGGATACCGCTTCACCCCGCCCGAGTGGGTCTTCGCCGACGTCGACAGCCATCCGGACAACATGTGCTTCTGCCCCGCGGGCAAGCCCTCGTGCTCCCCCAACGGACTCTTCAACGTCTCCCTGTGTCAATACGGTGAGAAGGAATGCTAAATACTGGCTTCGATCGAGTTCTATCATAAAGTTATCTGCAGATTCCCCTATCATGCTGAGTTTCCCGCATTTCTACCTGGCCGACGAAAGCCTACGGACGCAAGTGGAGGGCATTTCTCCGCCAATGAAGGAAAAGCACCAGTTCTTCTTCGATGTCCAGCCTGTAAGTCATAAATCGCACCCCTAATTCACCTTTAAAGCTTTTTTTAATACATATTTATTTGCAGAAAATGGGAACCACCCTGCGAGTGCGCGCCCGTATCCAGATCAATCTGGCCGTCAGCCAGGTGTTTGACATCAAGCAGGTCGCTAACTTCCCGGACATCATTTTCCCCATCCTGTGGTTTGAGGAGGGAATCGACAACCTGCCCGACGAGGTCACCGACCTCATGCGCTTCGCCGAGCAGGTGCCGCCCAAGATCCGCGTGGCGCTGATCGTTGGCCTGTGCGCACTGGGCGTGATCCTCCTGCTGCTTTCGACCTTCTGTCTGATCCGCAACTCACACCGACAGAGCACCCTGCACCTGGAGGGCTCCAACTACCTGGCCACCGCTCAGGTGGACATGAACAAGAAGCAGAACAAGGATAACCAACCCGCCAGATACTAGGCGCTCTAGTCGGAGTCTGGTTGCAGTCCGAGGGTCTCTGGGTGTCTTAGTTTAGTGTAGGCCTTAGCTAGGAACTGGGACTAGCCCACCTTACTTCCACTTCCCAATCCCCGATCCCCAATCTCCAATTCCCAAAACCCACTCCCTTTTCCAATCCCATTCCCGAAAGCGAATGTGCGTCTCTGTAGATTAGAAGAAATGGAGCTGGGAAGACTTGTATGTATATGTATGTGTATCTATATCTATTGTATTGTATGTAGGTTATCGTTGTAAGTAAGCGTTATGAAAATTTTGATTTGTAGTCTTACAAAACAGTCGTGATCGCTTAAGGGCTCAAAGCTTCGACTAAGACTTCGATTTGTTATACCAAAACAGAAGCCGATCCCGTACTTGTTTTCTATTACCCTGTTGAAATTGAAATTGAATGTCCAGATTGATTCACAAAACTCGAAACGTTTCTCAAATAAAACAAAGTTCCATCCTCGAATACAAATGTGCTTCATTAGACCAAATGCTGGACAAGGTCCGCATAGGAAATTTGTATACTATAAGTACATAATTCTATCGATCGAATGTACAATTTATATGCATTAATGTGTACAATAAACTACGATATTATTTTAATTAGAAATCTCCCAAAATTTTCTTTCCGTTCATATAAGCTTTAAAAGCTGTCGCATTATGGGTGACGTTTTTTCTCCAGTCCTCGTTAGCTAGCAATTGTTTTTTTCGTTCCCACTATCCAAAATATCCAATAGAATTATCCAAAAGAATTACTATTTTGTGCAGCTAAGCCCTAAACTATAGATTCCAGGTTGATTTGGAAAAATTAATTTTTTGGCAGGCTCTAGAATTTTTCATAAGGGGTTAACCTTTGGTTTTTGCAAAAAATCGCCTATACTTAATTTTTTTAAACTGTGAATGCCACTCGATTGAAAATTTTATAACGATTTCAACGAGGTATGACATTCCAACGAGTGATCATTATTTCCAACGGTTTTGATAAAAAAAAAACCGAAATAAAAGTTTATTTTTCCGGATCTCCGGATTTTGGCATTTTTGATTAATGATCAATGATTTTTTAATATTTGCCAAAAATCGACTGATTTGAAATTTTTTAGCTGTGAATGCCATCATCATCATTAATATTTGCCAAAAATCGACTGATTTGAAAATTTTTAGCTGTGAATTCCACCCGACTGGAAATTTTATAACGAATTCAGTGAGATATGGCATTCCAACATCTGACAATTATTTCCCAGGGTTTTGATCAAAAAACCGAAATAAAAGTGGGTTTTTCCGGATTCCCGGGTTTTTGGCATTTTTGATAAATAAAATATCATTAATATTTGCCAAAAATCGACTGATTTGAAAATTTTTAGCTGTGAATGCCACCCGACTGGAAATTTTATAACGAATTCAATGAGGTATGGCATTCCATCTTGTGACAATTATTTCCCAGGGTTTTGATCAAAAAACCGAAATAAAAGTGGGTTTTTCCGGATCTCCAGATTTTGGCATTTTTGATAAGGGGTTACATCATTAATATTTGCCAAAAATCGACTGATTTGAAAATTTTTAGCTGTGAATGCCACCCGACTGGAAATTTTATGACGAATTCAGTGAGATATGGCATTCCAACATCTGACAATTATTTCCCAGGGTTTTGATCAAAAAACCGAAATAAAAGTGGCTTTTTCCGGATCTCTGGATTTTGTCATTTTTGACATCATTAATATTTGCCAAAAATCGACTGATTTGAAAATTTTTAGCTGTGAATGGCACCCGATGGGAAATTTTATAACGAATTCAGTGAGGTATGGCATTCCATCATGTGACAATTATTTCCCAGGGTTTTCATCAAAAAACCGAAATAAAAGTGGCTTTTTCCGGATCTCCGGATTTTGGCATTTTTGATAAGGGGTTACATCATTAATATTTGCCAAAAATCGACTGATTTGAAAATTTTTAGCTGTGAATGGCACCCGATGGGAAATTTTATAACGAATTCAGTGAGGTATGGCATTCCATCATGTGACAATTATTTCCCAGGGTTTTCATCAAAAAACCGAAATAAAAGTGGCTTTTTCCGGATCTCCGGATTTTGGCATTTTTGATAAGGGGTTACATCATTAATATTTGCCAAAAATCGACTGATTTGAAAATTTTTAGCTGTGAATGGCACCCGATGGGAAATTTTATAACGAATTCTGTGAGGTATGGCATTCCATCATGTGACAATTATTTCCCAGGGTTTTCATCAAAAAACCGAAATAAAAGTGGCTTTTTCCGGATCTCCGGATTTTGGCATTTTTGATAAGGGGTTACATCATTAATATTTGCCAAAAATCGACTGATTTGAAAATTTTTAGCTGTGAATGCCACCCGACTGGAAATTTTATGACGAATTCAGTGAGATATGGCATTCCAACATCTGACAATTATTTCCCAGGGTTTTGATCAAAAAACCGAAATAAAAGAGGGTTTTTCCGGATCTCCGGATCATTAATATTTGCCAAAAATCGACTGATTTGAAAATTTTTAGCTGTGAATGCCACCCGACTGGAAATTTTATGACGAATTCAGTGAGATATGGCATTCCAACATCTGACAATTATTTCCCAGGGTTTTGATCAAAAAACCGAAATAAAAGAGGGTTTTTCCGGATCTCCGGATCATTAATATTTGCCAAAAATCGACTGATTTGAAAATTTTTAGCTGTGAATGGCACCCGATGGGAAATTTTATAACGAATTCAGTGAGGTATGGCATTCCATCATGTGACAATTATTTCCCAGGGTTTTGATCAAAAAACCGAAATAAAAGTGGGTTTTTCCGGATCTCCAGATTTTGGCATTTTTGATAAGGGGTTACATCATTAATATTTGCCAAAAATCGACTGATTTGAAAATTTTTAGCTGTGAATGGCACCCGATGGGAAATTTTATAACGAATTCAGTGAGGTATGGCATTCCAACATCTGACAATTATTTCCCAGGGTTTTGATCAAAAAACCGAAATAAAAGAGGGTTTTTCCGGATCTCCGGATTTTGGCATTTTTTATAAGGGGTTACATCATTAATATTTGCCAAAAATCGACTGATTTGAAAATTTTTAGCTGTGAATGGCACCCGATGGGAAATTTTATAACGAATTCAGTGAGGTATGGCATTCCAACATCTGACAATTATTTCCCAGGGTTTTGATCAAAAAACCGAAATAAAAGAGGGTTTTTCCGGATCTCCGGATTTTGGCATTTTTTATAAGGGGTTACATCATTAATATTTGCCAAAAATCGACTGATTTGAAAATTTTTAGCTGTGAATGGCACCCGATGGGAAATTTTATAACGAATTCAGTGAGGTATGGCATTCCATCATCTGACAATTATTTCCCAGGGTTTTGATCAAAAAACCGAAATAAAAGTGGTTTTTTCATCATTAATATTTGCCAAATATCGACTGATTTGAAATTTTTTAGCTGTGAACGCCACCCGACTGGAAATTTTATAACGAATTCAATGAGGTATGGCATTCCATCTTGTGACAATTATTTCCCAGGGTTTTGATCAAAAAACCGAAATAAAAGTGGGTTTTTCCGGATCTCCAGATTTTGGCATTTTTGATAAGGGGTTACATCATTAATATTTGCCAAAAATCGACTGATTTGAAAATTTTTAGCTGTGAATGCCACCCGACTGGAAATTTTATGACGAATTCAGTGAGATATGGCATTCCAACATCTGACAATTATTTCCCAGGGTTTTGATCAAAAAACCGAAATAAAAGTGGCTTTTTCCGGATCTCCGGATTTTGTCATTTTTGACATCATTAATATTTGCCAAAAATCGACTGATTTGAAAATTTTTAGCTGTGAATGGCACCCGATGGGAAATTTTATAACGAATTCAGTGAGGTATGGCATTCCATCATGTGACAATTATTTCCCAGGGTTTTCATCAAAAAACCGAAATAAAAGTGGCTTTTTCCGGATCTCCGGATTTTGGCATTTTTGATAAGGGGTTACATCATTAATATTTGCCAAAAATCGACTGATTTGAAAATTTTTAGCTGTGAATGGCACCCGATGGGAAATTTTATAACGAATTCAGTGAGGTATGGCATTCCATCATGTGACAATTATTTCCCAGGGTTTTCATCAAAAAACCGAAATAAAAGTGGCTTTTTCCGGATCTCCGGATTTTGGCATTTTTGATAAGGGGTTACATCATTAATATTTGCCAAAAATCGACTGATTTGAAAATTTTTAGCTGTGAATGCCACCCGACTGGAAATTTTATGACGAATTCAGTGAGATATGGCATTCCAACATCTGACAATTATTTCCCAGGGTTTTGATCAAAAAACCGAAATAAAAGAGGGTTTTTCCGGATCTCCGGATCATTAATATTTGCCAAAAATCGACTGATTTGAAAATTTTTAGCTGTGAATGCCACCCGACTGGAAATTTTATGACGAATTCAGTGAGATATGGCATTCCAACATCTGACAATTATTTCCCAGGGTTTTGATCAAAAACCCGAAATAAAAGTGGGTTTTTCCGGATTCCCGGGTTTTTGGCATTTTTGATAAATAAAATATCATTAATATTTGCCAAAAATCGACTGATTTGAAAATTTTTAGCTGTGAATGCCACCCGACTGGAAATTTTATAACGAATTCAATGAGGTATGGCATTCCATCTTGTGACAATTATTTCCCAGGGTTTTGATCAAAAAACCGAAATAAAAGTGGGTTTTTCCGGATCTCCAGATTTTGGCATTTTTGATAAGGGGTTACATCATTAATATTTGCCAAAAATCGACTGATTTGAAAATTTTTAGCTGTGAATGCCACCCGACTGGAAATTTTATGACGAATTCAGTGAGATATGGCATTCCAACATCTGACAATTATTTCCCAGGGTTTTGATCAAAAAACCGAAATAAAAGTGGCTTTTTCCGGATCTCCGGATTTTGTCATTTTTGACATCATTAATATTTGCCAAAAATCGACTGATTTGAAAATTTTTAGCTGTGAATGGCACCCGATGGGAAATTTTATAACGAATTCAGTGAGGTATGGCATTCCATCATGTGACAATTATTTCCCAGGGTTTTCATCAAAAAACCGAAATAAAAGTGGCTTTTTCCGGATCTCCGGATTTTGGCATTTTTGATAAGGGGTTACATCATTAATATTTGCCAAAAATCGACTGATTTGAAAATTTTTAGCTGTGAATGGCACCCGATGGGAAATTTTATAACGAATTCAGTGAGGTATGGCATTCCATCATGTGACAATTATTTCCCAGGGTTTTCATCAAAAAACCGAAATAAAAGTGGCTTTTTCCGGATCTCCGGATTTTGGCATTTTTGATAAGGGGTTACATCATTAATATTTGCCAAAAATCGACTGATTTGAAAATTTTTAGCTGTGAATGGCACCCGATGGGAAATTTTATAACGAATTCTGTGAGGTATGGCATTCCATCATGTGACAATTATTTCCCAGGGTTTTCATCAAAAAACCGAAATAAAAGTGGCTTTTTCCGGATCTCCGGATTTTGGCATTTTTGATAAGGGGTTACATCATTAATATTTGCCAAAAATCGACTGATTTGAAAATTTTTAGCTGTGAATGCCACCCGACTGGAAATTTTATGACGAATTCAGTGAGATATGGCATTCCAACATCTGACAATTATTTCCCAGGGTTTTGATCAAAAAACCGAAATAAAAGAGGGTTTTTCCGGATCTCCGGATCATTAATATTTGCCAAAAATCGACTGATTTGAAAATTTTTAGCTGTGAATGCCACCCGACTGGAAATTTTATGACGAATTCAGTGAGATATGGCATTCCAACATCTGACAATTATTTCCCAGGGTTTTGATCAAAAAACCGAAATAAAAGTGGCTTTTTCCGGATCTCCGGATTTTGTCATTTTTGACATCATTAATATTTGCCAAAAATCGACTGATTTGAAAATTTTTAGCTGTGAATGGCACCCGATGGGAAATTTTATAACTAATTCAGTGAGGTATGGCATTCCATCATGTGACAATTATTTCCCAGGGTTTTCATCAAAAAACCGAAATAAAAGTGGCTTTTTTCCAACACTTGACTACAGTTTCGCAGGGTTTTGATAAAGAAAACCCACCATTCAGGCTTACTTGTTTTTTGCAAACACCAAAAAGCAATGTTGGTCCTTAGATATTACATAACAAAGATTATAACCATTTATTTATAAACAAACAACAAAAAATCAAAAAAATGCAGTAATGTACATAAGCATATAAAATATAATAAATATTTTTCGAACTGTAGGCATACATAAACTTACTGAAGAAAACTTCCCCTCTCCTTATACCTAGAATGTGGCAACCTATGTATGTGTAACCTATTTTATAAGTTCCTCTAGTCCTGCAATGTATAGGTATTTCGATTTCAGTAAATTAGTTGATTTCAGCACGATCCCAAAAGTATGCAATCTTAAAGGTGGTGGGCCAAGGAAAACGAAATTATTTCATTATGATTATAATATTCGTTCAAATTTGCGCTGATATAAAAATCAAGTAAATCAAGTAGGTAAAGTTATAGCTTGGATTAAAAAACGAATACAAAAATTAAGAACACAACCAAGAAATAAAACAAACTTCGGCCAGCCGCTGTTTATATACTCTTGCAGCTAAAGAAAAGTAAGATTCTTTCAATTTGTACGCATTTTTATATTTAATTGTTCGATTTTATGAAATAGAAACAAATAGAATTTTTCGTTTTGTTGATGCTATATGTATATATGAGTTATTTTGATTTTCTAAATTTTTTCCGATCAGCTTTGAGATCTTTCCATTATCAGCTATTGCTTTCTGTGTTATCGCTTCTACGGCAGCTATATTATATAGTCTGATCCGGACGTTCCGACTTTTATCTTTAAAACTTTCATAGAAACTGTCGGGCAAACGGGTGTAGAACCAGAATATATGTATATACCTTTTTTTTTTAGGGTTATCAGATGTCACAAACAATAATAGTTTTGTAAGAGATTAAGTGTATAAGGCATTAATTAAAACGACATAAAAATTTATATTTATATAAATTTATATTTATATTCCCCTGGAATCATTAGCCGGACAAATGGGTCAGACCGGATTTTGTAGCATAGGCACTGCGTTGTCTACTAATACTCGATTTCAAGCTTGGGCAAGATCAGACAGACCAGCTGAAGCCAGACTTTAATGGCGAGTCATTTGTTTCGTTGCACGTTTGACTGCCCGCGGCACTGATAAGAGCAGACTGCTCTGTCTGTGCCTGATAAGGCCACCTTTGCCGGATCCCCAGGACAGGGTCGCCTGTTCAGATGCAGGCCATCCACACCTGCTGCCCGTCAAGGTCAGCAGAGGTAGAGGCACATACTACTTGGGGAACTGGGTCTGTCCGGCGGGAGGTAAAATTCAGACAGGCAGTGCAGCAGGACGGAGACCCGAGGCCAATCTGACTATGGGTAATGGTAATTGCTATGCTCGGGTCAGAGATCCGTCGTTATCACTGTTATTCCCCAAAGTCGGCGTCGGCATACGGGAATCGTAAGTGGAATCAGCTCCCGGGGCATCTCCGATAGCCTTTCTGCTATTTAGTTTTATAAGCTTTGTTTTCATTTCGTTCAAACAAGAGGATCAGATGGGCGGAGGCTGGAAGGCGATAAGTGATTGCAAAGCAATTGCCGAAAGCGCTTAGATTCGAGTCAAACTAATCGCGTGTTTTGTCCCGATCGGTCGCGAATCACTCTCCTCTCCGCTTTCCGGGCAAGCCATCCTTAGCCCCGAAATGAAGTCCGTTCAATGGGTAAAAGTAACGCTCTGCCTGATCCTTGCGTCACTGAATGTCTACCTGTTTGTGGTGTCCCTTGGCGTTAAATACCCCATCCTAGTTGCTAGGGAGCACGTACGCTTCCGCCAGGAGATGCCCACCATGGACAGCTGGATAAACTCGCCGTTCGGCAAACTGAAGAACTATGTCTTCAACGTGACCAATGCCGAGGAGTTCAAGAGCGGCCGCGACAAACGGCTAAAGGTGCAGGAGATCGGACCCATTACATACAGAATCGTGGGGTTTAACGACATTCTGGAAAGGAACGCGACTAACGTTAAATACCGCAAGCACCGGTACCGCGTAGTGGAGTTCCTCCCGGAGGAGAGCGTCTCCCCCGACGTCCTCAACTGGACAATAACGTCCACCAATAACGTGATGTTGGGCACAGCATCGAAATTGAAGGCAACGGCGCCGTATTCGGAAATAGGTTTCGGAGCGATCTTTTTGATGGAGAATATGTTTATCACTGATACCGTCTACTACTTCCTGTGGGAGTTCACACGACCTTTGCTGAATGCGCTTTCCAACGTCTCCAAGATAAAGCCCAATGTTGCAGTGCTGCACAACGTAAGTGTTTTGGCAACTATTCACCCTCTTCGATCCTCACTAATCCCTCCGCACAGGCCCTCAAGGAGAAGGAGGAGGTCTACACGGTGAACATTGGCCCGGAACGTGGCATCGAAAACTTCTTCCGGATCGAAACGCTTAACGACGAGGTCATCATTCGGGAGCAGCTTCCGCACACACACCGCTTATACTCCGACCAGTGTCCGTACAATGTGACCGGCGCCCTGGACAACTCCCTCTTCCCGCCCTTTGTCCAGCCGAACACACCGCTGGACATAGTGGCCATCGAGTCCTGCCGCGTACTACCGCTTACCTACCAGCGCCAGGAGCGCTTCAACGGACTCGACACCTTCCGCTATACGCTGCTCAAGGCCAACCAGACGCCACCGGCATGCCTGAGCACCAGCTACGGGATCAAGTTGCACGACGGGATGTTCGACGTATCCCAGTGTGTGATAAGTACGTAGTAGTGGCCTCTTGCCAGTAAACATGGCTCATAGGCAAGGGCCTTATTCTAGTAAGTAGTAATCCCCAAATTTTGTCTGCCCCACAGATCAGGCCCCCTCTGCGTTCTCGATGCCACACTTCTACGGGAGCAGCTACAACTGGAGCGAGCACTTCGAGGGATACACGCCCAATGCCGAGGACCACGAGCCCTACATTCTGCTGGAGCCGGTAACGGGCATTCCGGTTACGGAGAAGTACCGCTTCCAGTCCAACATTCCCATTCCCGATCTCAATGGGTATAGTTACCGATTAAGGAGGTTTAGCAACATGATGATTCCCAGCTTTTGGTATGAGTTCGTAAGTAGCAGTAGCGTCCTGGTGCACTTAAAAGGGCATGTGGAAAAGCTAAATCTTGAAACTATTTCAGGAAATGGGCCAGCTGCCCGGTTTCGTTACCGCCCTGATGTGGATCAACGTGAACGTGGTGCCCCACATGCAGCCGTACTGCATGGCGCTCTTCCTGGTTGTGGCCTTGTGGAGCGTCTTAAAGGCGATCCGAGTAGCCTGCGGCGGCATCGGCTACAAGGATCTCTTTCGCAGGGGATGCTGTGGCGACTTGAGCACGGTCACCGGGCTGGAGACCACGTTCCAGGCGAACGCTTCCTCACTGGTTGTGGTTAAGTAGTTTCCAGAGCCCTGGTTTACTTCTCAGACTGGACCCGTGTATATATACGATATATATATGTACAATATTTAGAGTTAGGCTAGAGGTGTCGCTGCCGATGCATTATCAGTAGTTCGCCGTTACGTAATATACGATCGTGAGGAAAATTGAATGTGCCTCATTTCACCTTATCTGTCCGCCATCCAGACGAGCAGGCCCAGATCCTCCACCCGCTGCCCCACTGCCTCCCTTCATGATACGGCGGTTTGAGGTCGCGGCTCTCTGTTTGATTCGCCCCGCCTCTTGCGCCGTGCGGCGTGACACTGAAAACTTGGACATGTACCGAGCCGAAGATTTATTTTGCGTTTTGTTCAATCTGTGCATTTACTTTTTTATTGTTAGTATTTCTTCAGCCCCACCGCCGCCGTTGTTGTGGATTTTGCGGTTTGTTTACTTTTGTTTCGCCTTGTTTACTCCTCCTTCCTGAACCCGAACTTTTGCACAAGCTTCATGATCTTCCCTGACTGCGAAGCTGATGCCCTGCCTGACTTCAAGGTAAGCCACCGCCGGCCCCTTGGACCCCTCGACCGCCTAACCCGCCAGGGAGTTTTTTTCCTTTACAACCGCTCTCGATTTGCATAAATCGATACCCCAGAGCTCGGGGCTAAGGATGCCCCAATTTAAATGTTAATCACCGCGGACAAGCCGAAAGTTGTTTGTATAATTGGCACGAGAGTTATGCCACAGGTGGAGGGTCAACGCGGGTGATTTATTGACCTCCCTAGCCCAGGCCGAGTGGAGCTGATCCCCGAGCCAGCAGATCGTCAGTAGAATCGCCCGCGTCAGAGTCGTAAAAACGCTCATAATTGTACGAGGGTATAAAGTGTATTTTGGCTTTATGGCCAATTACTGTTGGCCCCACCAGACTAGAATTATCAGCTTGAACTGGGCTCCATTAGCGAGCTCATTCGCAAGTGCGGACGACCGCCGGGGCCGGCCCAAAACCACCAGTCACGGCGAGACGTCCGAAATGTCCACCTGTCAGGGTAAATCCCAATCGATCGGACCAGACCAGTTGGAATCGATCGGGCTGCGCCAAAACAAAACCCAATCACACACGCCCAAAGAGCTTTCGAAATCTGGTTAGGTCTAGACTGGTGCGTGCGATTCATGACGCCAAAGATAATTAAAAGGGAAATGGAAATGCATAAAAGTGATTACAACACAGCGGCAACAACGTTAGCACTACCAAATGCGCTCGTTAAGTCGGGAAAGAGTTGGAAACCGAACACGAGCTCCAAGCGGCAGCTGCGACTCTCGGAGCAACAAAGACCGCCTGCCAAAATCAACATGTAAATTTCAATTTTCACGTACGTCAGTGCTTTTCCTACGAATTTCGTACGTGAATGGGTAAACAACGATCGGGGTGTGAGAGATAAATCTGTGATTAAACTCCCATTCCATTCCACCCTTTGAACCGCTTGGCGGGCTCTCGGACGACTTGCCGAAATTCAGCTGAAAAAACCTTAAGTCAGACATCAAAAATCCGGTTCGGTTTGTCAGCTTTTGGTCTACACTGTGCCGCGACTCGGGCCAAAAGCACCGCCGCCTCCCCGCCTGCAAAAGCTCCAGCAGCCAGAGAGCTGTCAATTGCGCTCAGTGTAGGAGCCGTTAAAGCTCCTGGTATAAAAGCCAGGCCAACAGGCTAACTACTCGCAATCCAAACTGCGCCTTCGTCCGCACCACAACTTCACCCAGGCCACCAAAAACCTCCGGAAGAGAAGTGAGTAAGCTATTTTGCCGTGTTTAGCCGTGTTGACCGGGATCGGACCGAAGGAAAAAAGAAAAATCGTGCTGCTGAATTCGAATCAGCCTATTGCATAAACCAGAGCAACTGACCACTGAGCTGCACGGATTTGAATATTAGCCGTATAGAAGTCGAAAGCGACTAAGGCGACGTGGTCGTGAAATTGTGAAATCTTCTTTATAAAATATTGAAACCAAACGATCGCCAATTAGTATGCATATGCGATATATATGCCAAGGGCCATAAATAATGCATGAAAAAAGTGGGCAGCGCAGCGATCGTCTCGGATGATTCTCTCGGCATGCGTCTAAAAGTTAGAAATGCTGAGACTGGGCGACGCCTTCTAATTAGGTGATCGCCGGCAAACAGATGTACCACTTCTAAGGCACCTGTGTGTTTGTTTTGTTTGCTTACCTTTGCTAACCCAAAACTCCCGCCTGTCCTTGCAGCATATCCATCAACATGAAAGCCTCGCTAGCCATCGTGTTTTGCGTGGTCGCTGGTCTGGCCGCCGCTGCTCCTGAGAAGCAGTACACCAACAAGTTCGACAACGTGAACGTGGACGATGTTCTGGGCAACAACCGGGTACTGAACAACTACCTCAAGTGTCTGATGGAGAAGGGTCCGTGCACGCCGGAGGGTCGCGAGTTGAAGCGCCTGCTGCCCGACGCCCTGCAGTCCGACTGCTCTAAGTGCACCGAAACCCAGCGCCGCAACTCGCAGAAGGTGATCAACTTCCTGCGCACCAACAAGCCCGCCGAGTGGAAGCTGCTGCTGGACAAGTACGACGCGAAGGGAATCTACAGGGCAAAGCACGCGGGCAATTAAGCTTTCTGCATCTCCACAGCTACACGCACTCATTTCACATGAACCTAATTTAAATCAGAGATCCACAGTAAAGATTTTAGTTTTTTATACCTAAATGCGGCAAACGAAACTTTTATTCCAACGAGGGTGGTGACTAAGATCGGCTAGGTGGCGGCGAACTGAGGCGGCTGATGGGAGCCTATGAGCAGGTGTTATTTTGTCTCATTGATCAGGTCGATGGCCCGGAACTGGTTGGCCACATTGATGGTCCAATCCGAGTGTTGTCCGGCAGTGAATTCCTTCACGAAGCGGTAGTTGCAGATGAACACCTTGTCCTGGTACTCGGGTAGCGTCCTGCAATGAAGTGGAGTCAGCAAGAAGTATCTTCAGAAACCAGAAACCGAAACTTACCCCATGTTCCAGGGAATCTCCTCGCCGCGCTCCCGCATCTCGGACAGGCCGCGCATCACGTGGAACACCATGGTGATCTCCACGAAGCGCTTCTGCAGCTTGTCGTTGGCCTCGTCGAACATAATGCCCACCTGGTAGGGGAAGCTGAGGTAGATGTCGCTCTCCTTGATCTCCAGCTGTCTTCGCTGGGCCATGGACAGCTTCTGGATCACAGGCCGCAGCTCCGCGATCGCTTCGGGCGAGACTAGTTTGTCCAGCGAGTCCAGGTCGCCGCCCATCAGTCTTGAAGACACCACCTGCAGAGATTACGTTAGATAAGTCTATGATATTTGGAATCCGACTCACCTGCAGGGCTTGCTTGGCGCCGTATATAAAGTCCTTCAGCTGGAACTCGCTGTCGAAGTAGGGGCGGATGATGAACTGGATGGTGATCCAGTTCTTGAGGGTGTTTAGCGCCGAGGGCCACACGATCTCGGGGAAGTCCATGAGGCGAGGCAGTCGGTTTGGGCTTTCCCGGGCCTCCTGCTCCTTCTTGTCCTGCTCCTGCGGCAGCGAAGCGTACGACCGCCTGGCCGGCTGTGTGGGGTTCGAGATGGCGCCCGTTTCCTGTGTTCTGGAGACGGCACTTATGGCCCTGGGCTGCAGACGCGTCAGGGAGGACCGGGCCAAGCCCAAGCAGCGTCTAAGCGTGTGCTGCATCTCAAAAATTGCACTTTTAGCAGGTGCAATCGAAAAATATTTTGTTATTGCACAGCAGTTCAGTGTGACCACAGCAGGACCTTTGAAATATCCACGCCTGTTTAATGGATTTGTAGAAACATAATATTTCCATTATATAAAATGCTATCAGTTGAACATGATCTTAAAAGTGGAAACACAAACCGTGAAATGTATATTCCAATATTATTCAAGTTATTTTAAAATTAGTCTTGCCACTCTGTTCAAACTAGTTAATCAGCAGACGTTGCCAGACCTTCCACCTTGCTATCGATGCATCGATAACACACCACCTCTAGAAAATGGTGCTGACTTCCGGCTGTCAAATTTTTCTTTCTTTCCCAGCCACGACGAGCAAGGGTCGACAGCATGAGGTAGAATTGAGTTTGTAAATATGAGCGAAATGTCGCATTCGCGGTGCCAAATTGTGTGCAAAGTGTGATGGGGCGGGGGTGTGGCATTGTGGCTGCCCCGGCGCCCGGGTGCAATTCAGTTTTCCGCGACAATTGTGAAATAACTAAACGTGCGCCGCTCACCCACACACACACACACACATGCGCATATCGCAACACGCTGGTTTCGAATGGACCGACTAACAAGTACCCCTCAATTACAGTTCTCTAAAGCTCCAAAAGAGGCTCGCAGCCTCCGTACTGCGATGCGGCAAGAAAAAGGTCTGGTTGGACCCCAATGAGATCAACGAGATCGCCAACACAAACTCGCGTAAGTAGAAGCAAGCCCAGATAACGAAGACGGTGTACTAACTCTCGAATCTACATCTCCATTACAGGTCAGAACATCCGCAAGCTGATCAAGGATGGTCTTATCATCAAGAAGCCCGTCGTGGTCCACTCCCGCTACCGTGTGCGCAAGAACACCGAGGCACGCCGCAAGGGCCGCCACTGCGGATTCGGAAAGCGCAAGGGTACGGCGAACGCCCGCATGCCCACCAAGCTGGTGTGGATGCAGCGCCAGCGCGTCCTGCGCCGCCTGCTGAAGAAGTACCGCGACAGCAAGAAGATTGACAGGCACCTGTACCACGACCTGTACATGAAGTGCAAGGGTAACGTGTTCAAGAACAAGCGCGTCCTCATGGAGTACATCCACAAGAAGAAGGCCGAGAAGCAGCGCAGCAAGATGTTGGCTGACCAGGCCGAGGCTCGCCGACAGAAGGTGCGCGAGGCCCGCAAGCGCCGCGAGGAGCGTATCGCCACCAAGAAGCAGGAGCTCATCGCTCTGCACGCCAAGGAGGACGAGATCGCCGCCAAGGCCGCCACCGCGGGTCACTAAGCAGTCCGGCCTCGCTAGTCGAGGTTCCCCGTATTGATAGTACTGTTTGTCATCTGAATAAAACAACTTTAGTTTGGCCTAAATGATTTTGTACAAACGTGAAACGCTCTCGCTCCTTATTGGCCGTAATCTGTGGCAAGACTTCGTGAGGGAATTTGAATCAAATATTTAGTTTATTCAAAGATCAACGAACCTCACCAGGCCAAGCAAAAATCTGCTTTTTTTGCTCACCTTAAAGGCGACCCTGCCCTTCAATTCCGAGCTCATCTATTGGAATTGGATTTTGTGATGGCCTGCACAAAATATGTTATCTTACATTTTTGTTTGTGTACCAGCTGAAATACAACACCCGGCGGCCTGGACCTGGAGTACACTGTTGACTTCCTATCTGGCATTCGCCTGGGGGCGAAAAGACCGGGTTAGGCAAGTGTCGATTGACCTTAACCTTAAACAACGTACTGGGAGGCGATCCCTAACCCCTGAAAACACAACAAAATTCCAGCTGTTTCATTTAGGTCCTTTTACGGATATGCAATCAAGCTAATGAAGAAATTAACTTAAAATGTTACGTCTTTTCATATTTTGAATTACGTAACAACACGTCTCTAAATTTTCATATATGAGCCTTGAAAGACGATCTGAACAACTTTAAACGCGTTTTTCTCAAAATTTAATTTTTGAATTAGATGACCAAAATAACTTGAAAACTATTGAACCTATCTTTCTAAAGCTTGGCAGGCCTATTTAAAACAAACATTTATTCTCTAATCGTTTGATTTTTTCGATACAAAATGGATATTTTTTTTTAACCATAAAAACGACCGTTTACCAAGTCGAAATCGAAACATAAATTTTAAATGTCAGTCATTTCCTTAAACAAATTCCCGAAAAGGAACGTCAGGCTGCAACTAACTACGTTATAACTTTTTTTTTGGAAGATTAAAAATGAACTCGACTCTTAATGGCACAACCTGCTCAGTCATTTGCCCAAAGTATACATGGAGTTTCCTTACCAATTAGAACTGCAGGCCTCATAGCTTTATACCTCCTCAACATATACGCATACCATATATAATCGTTTTCATAAATAAAAAGGGTATAAAAATTTAGGATTTATCATCCGTTTAAACTTTTTGACTGAAATTATAAAACCCTCAGCAAGCGACAACTAAAATTGTGTTCCTTTTTAGGAATTAAAAATCGCATAGATTTAATTTTTTTGAACAGCCTTAAAGTGAATCAAAAATTATTAATGAAAGAGGTTTTCTTAACATATTTTAATTGTAAAAATAATGGGTAATATTCACAATTGAGTTACTTTTTTCAAATGACGATCATATCATATAAGACGAAAATGAATTGTAATTGAACGAAATGTACGTTACAGTAAATAATGTAACAAAATGAGTTTGAAAGTATTAAACCTTAACATAATATAAACACATTTTAGAGGTAAACTTAAACATATTATTAAGTCTTACTTCTGACTTAGTACGCAAATTTAATAAAGTGAATAAAACATTAATGAAAAAGGACATTCAATGGAAAAACCACTCTTTTCAAATGTTACATAACTGACGAAATGTATGTGACAAAAATAAAGTAAAAGAGATTTCAACATAACTTAAATTATTCTTAAAAACCTTATAAGAAAGTTACATTTGTTTTTCATTTAATATAAACCTTTAAATATTTTTCAATACTTTATAGTTTCGGGGAAAACTCAATCATATATAAAACCGCAAGTAATCAAAGGGATTTTTAAAACTGTCGAACTAAAATATACTTCACTTCTTATGTTTCCCAATGTTCTTACAATTACTTATTACACGACATAATTTACTTTTGTACGTTCTGAAGGCTCCTACGTTGTTTATTAGTTCATCAGCATCTGGACGAAACGGTGTAAGTATGGCCTTGTCCTCGAAGTTCTGCTTGGCAATTCGCAAACGGCGATGGATCTCAGCCACATCTAACATTTCTTCATTGACAAGCTCCGTATCAGAAGATAACATGACCGTCAAGAAAACGGCCACTTCTTCACTTAATTTGCTTTGGTATCCAACACAAGTCTTGGGCTCCGCCCCTTCGTCGTCTAGAAGGACGGTGTGGGACATTTTTTTGTTGTCCTATAAAATAATCAAAAATATATAAGACATTGAACAGTGACATTTTTCAAATAATTTAACCAATTTTATATATAGTAAATATTTAATAATTGAATTTTTATATTAAGCTGGATTAGCTTGAAAAGTGTTGAGCATTGATTCTATTTCAGTTTGTTTTCATTATGTGAGTGATCTACAGCCGAACATATCGTTGCGGGTGACAGAACCGCTGTATCACAAATTTACATATGTATGTTTACCAATGTATTTTTTGGTAAACTTATTTTTTTATCTAATAAGTTAACAACTTGATAGATACCTTGCATTTCTCAATATCGCTGGTCAGGATGTAATCCACTCCTCGTTGCAGAGCGAATCGGGCGGCCATTTTGGGATCTGGAGTGTACCGATAGCCTTGAGCAACGCGTCGGAATGATGGGAGCAGATCGAATAGTTTCAAACGCCGCTTAACGGTCTCCGACGGTTCATAAGTGTCCAATTGGGGTAGAACATCTGCGAGGAACATGTGACGCACTTCGTAGGCAGAGAGATCTTGGAAGGACTCGTTTGTCGTCGTCCATTCCTGCCAGGCGGAAACGTGTTGTATATAAAACAATCTGCATGATTCTACTGCGTAGTTGATCAGCTCCATGTGAAGCGGGTGCTGGGTCTGGGCTTCGTTCGGCGATTCGTCCATTTTTTTTTTGGCAAAGTTAAACAGTAATACTCAATATACAACAGTACAGCAAAAGCGTTAAATTCAACTGACGCTTTCAGGGTTGCGTTTTGTATCTTTTCCGATTAGTGTTGGAAATCGGTTTTTTATATATTTAACGCAACAGCTGTTAAAACATCGACTGTCTCCACGAGCGCGTACTCGATAGTCCTATCGAAGGTTATCCAGCCCTGGCTCGGCCCACACCCTATATAAGCAACTCGTAATGCTCTCCTCTCTGTAATTTTTGGAAAATCTCTTCGTTGGCTACGGTGTGTTCGTCGCAATCGAATAAAATTAAATCGAATCGGCGGTGCGCGTGCAGACTGCTTAGAATTCCTACATATTTTAATTGGATCGGAAAAGATCGACGGCCAAAGTCGTGGTCTTATCGAAACTCGGTGCGTGCATGCAAATTTTTGGCATAAAACAGACGCGACTTCTTGGAGGCGGCGCACTAGTCAGAGCAGTTCCACCGGGGCAGCAGCTACTCCAATCCAAACTAACTAACTTGCAATACAACTGCAGTTGAAGCCGAAGCCGAAGCCAACTCAACCAACCATCCAAATCACCTGTGGAGATTTCGTAATCCCAGCCAGGAACATTCCGAACGCGAGTGAAAGTGCGCGAGTGTTGGTGCGGCCGAAAGAAAAGAAAATTTCTCATATCAATTGTACTTGTGCCAGCGGGTCAGCAGTACATCACCATCGGAGAAACAGAGCCATCATGAGTGGATACACAGACCTCACCAAGCTGGAGACCAGTCGGTGAGTCCGAGTCCGCTATTTTAAGCGATTAAGTTTAATTTTCCCCAAGTGATGCTAAATTGATCCCCCCGATCCGCCCCTGAACCGCGCGCTCTCTTTTGTGTAGACTCACTCCCAAATTGAATCCGAACCAACCGCACCCCGCGTCCGTTTTCTCTTTCGTTTGCACCGACAAAGCGCAAAACGAGATACAAGAAATTTATCGTACGATTTTTCGTTGGACGGAGGGACGGGGGACGGCCAATTCAAACACGAAAGAAAAAAACCAAGCCCGCGCCGTCCGCTAATATGACACAATCGGCTATATATTGTGCACCTATACAGAAATATGTTGGCGTTTTTTCCATGTTTGTTTGCCTAAATGTTTCGAGTGAGCCAACAGAGGCAAATCAGAGGCCCAGCTTTTGGATGAGCGATAAGGCATTATCTAAATAGCTATAGCACCTTCCCTTCGGTTCAATCTACGAACTGACACTAGCCCGCCAGCCATCGGTAAAAACCATTACTCACCAGGGCTAGTATCTGGCCACTATCCGGCCCCCTTGGGCCGCTTAAATCGAAGAAATTCTCTGATTCACCTCGCAGTGTGTCGTTTTTTGAGGCAGGTGTCGCCTTGAATGGCCACTTGCGGCCGCCTAGTAGGTAGAATATCTAATTTGCGGGCGTATCAAATATCGATTATGCTGGAGGTCGGAGCGCAAACACAGAAGCTCGCGGCCAAAGCAAACCAAATGTTGGTCAATTCGGTTCAAAGACAGCTTATTCCTATGTATGTATATGCCATTGCCCAACATTGCAAATACGAGAAATACCACAAAAACATAGAGCAGCAGCAGAGCATCGCCAGCGATTCATTCATCATGCTCAGCTGATGGAGGCGACTCTTGTTTTCGGTCCGGCCATCGTACAGTTTCTGGGCAACATCACGCCACACGGCAGCAAAGAGAAAACTCTCGGACCGAAGAGAACCCTTAAGAGCGGCGATTTGCTTGCCACATGAAGCCAGCCAGCACCACCCACCCACCAGACACCCCTTCAGCAGCCGCTCAATGAAAAAGTCGCCTGATTTCGGCGTTGTATGCGGTACATCACCTGGCCCTGCCCTGGGCCCCATTCTCTCACCCGCGTTTCGCGCATGTCGCGTGACGCTGGCTGGGCTTAGCCCAATTCGCACACCGGGATCGGGGAGTGGATCGGGGAGTCGGGACCAGGGAGCGGTCAGCTGTGTGCTGACGACTCGAGGCCTCCAATTGGCTGGCAGCGTGTGGCGTGTTACCCGAACCGGTGTTTGTGGGTTCTTGGGAGTGGTGTAGGAGGAGATTACTGGAAAAGAACTGGTGTGTCAAGGCATCAGGCGCGTGGCCAGCACTTGACCGGCGCTTGATTGGAACCATCTATACAAATAAGCCAGGGTCGCGGTCAGGGGGAATAAATAACTATAATTGAAATTAAATTGAGGTGATTATTTAGAATTTCATGAGACAACAATCAAGCAATCTATTATGCTAGAGTGTCCGAGCGAAAAGCGATGATAAGATGGTAATTGTTTTCGCATTCCTACGCTGATTTCTGATTTCCATTATAGGAATCCAACGCAATTAGCTTAATTAGTCACCGAGTGGCTGGGAATCCTCCGCCGACGTCCACGACGTCTAGCCGTGCCAGAGGAAAAATACATTGACACCTGTCTGGCTCTGCTTCTAGATCTAGATCTGGTTCTGGCCCCCAGTGGGGCGATGTCGGTCAACGCAGCTCGGAGCACGCAGCACTCGCGTGGCCACCCCCACCCCTGATAGCCCCGCGTTACACTTCAGCCATCGATATCTAGATTGTCTAAGTTTGTTTCCCCAGGGCAGCGGGAGCGGGCGGAACTGTAGGGTAGAGGTCTTTAAATGGCGCAGTCACTAAAACTAAATTTATCAGTGCGCTCGGCGCTCGTTCTGTCAACTAGCTACGATCACGCGGCCTCGCACTGGCAGCCTACATTCCGGGCTGGGCAATCTAGTCGCATTAAATGGGAGGCACGGGAGATACGCAACTCCAGCTCCGTCTGGGAACCGTCTGGCAGCGATAACCCGCGCCGCGCCGCCCTAGACTTTGGCCACTCCAGCTCCAGATACCAGATACAAGCTCCCGTTCCCGGGGGGTTAATGGCTAGCGCGCTTTATGGGGCTTGACCCGACGATGTTACGCGGTCGTGAAATTAAAGTTAATGAGACGAGCCAGGATTGTATAACCATTACTTGGGATCTGGTGAGCAGAGTCGGGGCTTTGCCCTCCACACGCCCATCTCCGTCCACCTCCCAACCAGCACGTGGACGGGTTAAATTGGCTTTAAAAACCAAAATAGAAATCTTGCTGTCCGTCCGTCTGGGCTTTGTTTTAAGAGCCACACGAGCACTGTCAGGTACAAAAGCACCAACAGGTTTTCTATTTTATACAAATTGAATTTGCGACAACGCCAACGAATCGCTGATTTGCATAGAATCCAATTCATATCTATCATACGCCACGTTGGCCAGTGGAGGGGCGCACCCAGCCCAAGCCGAAAGCTTCAAAGAAAGAAGACTTCGAGTGGCGGAAGTCTGATCGCGGCAGACTTAACGACGCTGTAGAACGGGCAGCCGCTGGTCCGGTCTGGCGCGATGTGGCAGGGTCCCCAATCATGCTGTCTATTGTCCAAACTGGTTCCCCTGCACAAGCTGTACTGGTTTGCTGCTTGTTTGCTGTTTGCTGGCCCAAGCTCATCTTCCGATTGTTCTGCTATTTCAGGAACTGCCTGCGCCGCATCGCCCGTCACGATGAGCAGCAGTTTTCCAAAGACAGCATCGTCAATGTGATGGAGAAATTTGTTAAGACTGTCAACATTATGGACGACACCATACTGGTGCCATGCAGGCTCATGGATCGACAGGTTGGTACAGCAAGCCCCTAGAATCCCAGTCCTTTCAAACGCGGCCGTACTTATCACTCCTCTTTGCTTGGTTATCTCGCAGATTGGCGACAGCACTGACATCATCCCAGCCACCGGTAAGGACTCGACCGCAAACCAACTGACACAAAGCTCCAGTGCTCAGGGCAAGCGGGGGGCGGCGCACTCAAAGAACGTGCAAGACTTTCTCAGCGCCTCCGAGCTGTTCAATCTGTACAACATGCTGAACTCGCTGAAAAAGGATCTGCTCTGGACCGCCAACCAGGAAGACGACGAGCAGCACCCCCAGCAGCAGCCCAACGCTACCTCCAATTCCGCTTCGAATTGCAATCCCAGCGAAAGCAAGACTGAGTCCAGCGGCAGCCCAAGCACAACCGCTTCGAGCAGTGTGAAGGGCCATGTGCGCCGTACCTCTACCGCCTCGATGATGTCCACCAACTCGGTAAGCAACATGAGCGACTCGGACTCGGACATCTCGCAGGAGAACGATTCGGGCCTGGAGTCGGATGGCAACAAGAGCGACAACGCCCAGAGCAGCGACGGCAGCGACATCGTAGACGTCGCCAAGTCGAAGCAGGGTTCCGGGGACAAGGCCACGGAGCTGGCCCAGCGCTGCCGGAGGCATCTGAACGGTCTGTACCAGTGCCTGGAACAAATGACAGAGGCGGCCAACTACCTGACCGCTAGATACCAAAGTGATATTGGGCCCGTCTAGGACGGCCAACTGAACGCCTTCTCGACCATATTCTCCTACCCTCCTAATCCTACACCTACAATTTCACTTCCTTTCGAGCTGGGCGGGGTTAACTTCATACCATAGTCGCGGGCGGGTCTTTACTCTCATTAGTATCAAGTGAGCCAAGTGTGAGGTTTTTTTCTAACTAACTATAACTATAACTGTATCTATATACCTATATCTATGTATATGAATATGTATATGTATATGTAACTAGAGGGGGTGCTAAGTAAGACATATGAGGATCGTATGTGTGCATGAGGATTGTATAAATGTATAACTGAGGATGATAAATAACAACTGGTAGTAATAGTAGTGGAAAAAGCAGCGCCTAAAGCAACAGATCAACAAAAATTATACTGTAAAAATTGTAACATCTTCGTTGTATCTCTCTTATGGGTTTTAAGGGGAAATGAAATTAAAAACAACACAGAAGCCAATCAAATCAATTTCGATCATTCCTTCTGTATCCGTTGGGGCCCCACTGTGGCCAAGTCAAATGTGTTATCCATTGCGCAGCTGTGGCCCCAACCCATATATCCCTTAATCTTTGCAATTTAATTTTCGTATATGTATTGGATATATAGCTATGGGAACTGCAGATACAACACTAAAGAAAACAATGTTCAACAAGTACAAGAAATCTAATTTCTAACTAATTTACGAATACGAACACAAGTGAAGTGGGAGCGGCAGCGAGCGAAGACGG